CTGCCCCGGCTGCCATTCACCACCTGGAGGCCGGGCTGTATCTGCACTGGGCAGAGCCTCAGGGCAGGGCCTTTTGACCCTAACATCTGGGCCCCTGCCCCTGGTCCACACATTCTCGTTTCTATCTTCCCAGACCTGGGTTTTATGTTTTTGCCTTCTCAGATTCTTTTTTTCAAATTGAGGTATAATTAACAAATAACGTTATGTTAGTTTCAGGTGTACAGTGTAATGATTGGGTGTTTGGTTATATTGTGAAATGATTACCACACTTAGTTAAGATCCGTTACCATACGTAGTTACAAATTTTCTTTTTCTCGTGATGTGAACTTTAAGATCTACTCTCTTAGCAATGTTCAAATATGCAATATAGTGTTATTAACTATAGTCAGCATGCTTCACATCCCATCCCCAGGACTTATTTATTTTATAGCTGGAGATATGAACCTTTTGACCCCCTTCACCCATTTTGCCCACCTCCCACCTCCCACTTCTGGCAACCACCAATCTGTTGTCTGTATCTATGAGCTCGTTTTTTTTTGTTTGTTTGTTTTAGATTCCACATATAAGTGAGATCATAGCTTATTTGTCTTTCCCTTCTGACTTATTTCACTTAGCATAATACCCTCAGAGTCCATCCATGTTGTTGCAGATGGTAAGATTTCCTTCATTTTTATGGCTGAATAATATTCCACTGTGTGTATATGTATATGTAGGTGCATATATATACCACATCTTCTTTATCCATTCATCCATGGATGGACACTTAGGTTGTTTCCATGTCTTATCAATTGTAAATAATGCTGCAATGGACATGAGAGCGCAGATATCTCTTTAAGTTAGTGTTTTCATTTTCTTCAGATATATATCCAGAAGTGGAATTGCTAGATCATATGGTAGTTCTATTTTGAATTTTTTGAGGAACTTTGATACTGTTTTCCGTAGTGGCTGCACCAATTTACATTCCCATCAGCAGTGCACAAGGGATCCCTTTTCTCCACATCTTCACTGACACTTGATATTTCTTGTGTTTTTTTAATTGATGTCATAATAGTTTATAACATTGTGAGATTCCGGTTGTACATTGTTATTTGTCAGTCACCATATAAATGTGCCCTTCACCCCTTGTGCCCACAACCTGTGCCCAGGTTCCCCCTGGTAACCACCAAACTGTTCTCTCTGTCCATGTGTTAGTTTGTATTCCACACAAGTGAAGTCATACAGTGTTTGTCTTTCTCTGTCTGGCTTATTTCACTTAACATAGTACCCTCCAGGTCCATCCATGTTGTTGCAAATGGGATGATTTTGTCTTTTTTTTATGGCTGAGTAGTATTCCATTGTATATATATATATATATA